AACTAGAACATTATTCGGTAATTGGGTTATATCTGGAGCTGTAGATCTCAGATTTAAGTCTGTTTTATATTGATAGAAAGCTAAGACATAAGTCTAAAACTTTCTTAGGAAGTCAAGACTCAATTCTACTGTTTGGAAGCCTAAATGTTAGCAATAACTTAGAAGTCTAAATATGTACTACAACCCAAACATTATTAAGTGTTCAGGCCATATCTCGAATTCTAGAAGTCCAAATGACCTTAATTTTTTTTTCCTGGAAAGATAAGATAATTTCCTAGAAATTTGGTTCAAATTCCAATGTTATCAATGATGTTTTATTCAAACAAGAAGATAAGGTTTGTCACCAAATCAAGATGTGATCATCCACTCATCAATTAGTCATCAAATAAATAGTTTTCAATTTTGGCCTATAAAAAGAGGCATTTGGCATGCATTTAGGCATCTTGGTTTCCAGATGAAGATCATACTCACTTTCTTTCATTCATAAATGTCTGACAACATTTACAAGTATTACCATTATTTGAATAAGATAATTAATGTAATCATGCTAACCATTTATAATCCGATTGAAACCTCTTTTATGTGTGGTTTTCAATTGAGTAATTAAAAGAGTTCATACTATACTTGTTTGAAATACCATTAGTGAATCCTTTAACCTTGACATTTGTTATTATCATTATTTAATCCTCACATTGATCTTCCATCCCAAAGTTCTCATCTACTTCTTCTTCTTCTTCTTTTTCTTTTTCTTCTTTATTACTATTACTATTACTATTGTTGTTGTTGTATTATTGTTGTTTATAATTTATACAAATAACCTCATTGTGGTTTGACTCCAGTCTTACCGGGTTATTTATTACTTCGACATTCCTGCACTTAGAAGAAGACATTAATCTTATAGTCATGTCAATATTAGAATGCATTATCACATTTATCTTTCTAGAGATATGGTTTGCTCTGATTCCAACTTATTGTGAGTATGTTGTCATTTTAGAGATCAAATCTATTGCTTCCATATGAGTCATTTCTATAAATACACCATCACTTGTAGTGTCTATTATGCTTCGGTCTATGAGCAGGAATCCTTCATAAAAAATATTGCAGCAATAATTGATCAGAAATTTGGTGATATAGGCAACTTGTGCATAATTGATAAAAACATTCGCATTACTTATATAAAATTTTCCCATTGTTTAGGCAAATTTCACTAATTTCTTTACAAATTATTCTAGAATATAAGGCTAGAAAGAATTTTTCTAAGAACTTATATTTTTCTAAGAACTTCTTCTTTAAATTATTTTATGTTAGTATTGTCCTTGAAGGAAGGTAATAAAGTCAGTCCTTCGTCTTGTCTACCAAAAAGAATGAGAAAGCCCTCAATTTAATTTGTACATCTATCACTCATTTTGATTTCTTAAACAAACCACATGGAATTCCTTTAAGTGTTATATCAATAGTTGGAAATTTAATGCATAAAAGCTACAAGTTCATGTTGGTAGTTGCCAACTCCTTTAATATTCTATGTTATGTCATGTTTTCAAAAATTTCTACTTCTCTTTTGTTTTTAGAATTGCTAGTTGAAAGCGTTAAGGTTAGCAGGTTCTTCTCTCACCTCTTGTTCTTCATATTTGCTCTTACGATTCTCTCAACTTCAAGACAACAACTAGTTCACTTGTACGAGAAGATCTTGGCATAAGTTAGTTTACTATTAAAGAAAAATTAGATAAAACCTTCCTCGGCTACGACGCTAAAATTTGGTTGGTTATTAGAACCTTGAAAATATAATTCTAACTTTACTATCATAAACAAAAAAAAAATAGTATGATCATGAAATCCAGGGCAGGGCAAACCTGATGAAAATTTTGTTTAATCCTCATACAATATACTAAAACAAGAAGAAGCGGGGGTTTGATAAGAAATTTAAAGAAAATTAAAATTCTAAAAAGAAAACATATGAGATCATTCAGTGTTATATGCTTAGTTCAAAAAGGATTTGTCCGTTTAATGAATTAGATTGATCATCAAAGTAAAATAAATATTTTTTTAGTTCAAGCAACACTAAAATTCCTTTAAGCATGGAAGATTGAGAAAGATTAAATTAATTAGGAAAAAAACTCCTAATTAATTCCTTGAAGGAAGCAATTAAGAAAAAAAAATGATCAAGTAAGCTATTGTTAAAAAGCTTAAAGATTTTTACATGTCTTATTCTTTTAAGCTGAAAGTTAAATCAAATAAATTTGTTTATTTTGCTTCCTTCTTGATACAAATCAACAATTACAGATTGAAAACTCACCCAAAAAAAAAAAGCATGCTTACCACATGAACCATCAAAAAGCTTGAATAAAAATAATAAATTACATACCAAATTCTAGGAAAATAAGTACTTGAATGTCCAAAAATAATGTTATAACAATAATGAAACAAAACTTCTCTGAACCAAAAGTCAAAGTTTAGTTCATAATTGTTAGAAAATTAACAAAAACAGAGAAAAAAAAGTTACAAAAAAGAAGAAGAGGTCTTGTTTCTGTTGTGATTTGCTTCCTTTATTTTCTCCTTCAACTGTTATCGTTCATTAGGATTCTTTTTAGAATTATGAGCCCTTAATGTTACTTAGTTCCTTTTTATTTATCTAGTCATTAAGGTTAATTAAATCCCTCATAATTTGTGTTGAAGACTGACTCTATTGCTGTCACAACTTTGTTGTAATTTAAATCATGTTGAAACTTATAATTTCTTTTTCACTTGGTTTGTTGCAATATCCGACAATTTCAGCTATATTTTTTCATTTATGAAATCTTAGAGGCTTGATTTTTATTTTTTTTGAATTATAAGACCCACTATTTCTATGTCAGACTTTTAGCTGTAATGGGATGCTTGACACTATTAGTTTTCTTTTCAGATCAGGAGACCAATCTCGTCCTTAAACTTGTGTTTAGATTTTTACCTTCAAAACAATTTTATCTTACCTAACATCCCTCATAAATGTTATATTCCTGGATGTGTAGATGATTTTGAATTTTTAAATCATATAATTTTGATATCCGAGACTCAAGATATTTCTATTTAAATCTGTATTATGAAAATAGAGAATCCTGTTGTAAGGAGGATTTCTATTTGATTTTGTAGATCTGATTATATGTTCAAATGAATTCGGATTTTTTTCTTATAATACCTTCCTAAAAAGCTTTATGTATATTTTAACTTTGATTTAGCTTACATTAAAACTACGAAACTCTAACATGGGGAAAAGCTTGCCATAAGAAATCAAGTCATAAACATAAAGAAAATATTGAATTTCTTATCTTTTAGTAATTAATTTATAAAGCCTTTTAAACATACTAAATTTATAAACATAAATTTTAATAAGTTCAAATAAACTCAAAACATATGCTTTTAAATATATCAAATAAGAATAGTATAAAAAAATAAAAATATATTTCACATTTATGCATATTCATAAATGATCTTTTAAATATATCGTATGTGAAACTTAGTTAATTTGAAAGCTACATTCTGCCAAAAAGAAAGACATGAAGATTGTACAATAATATATATATATATATATATATAAACCTTTTCCTTTAACTTATATATATATATATATATATATATATATATATAAAAGTAAAGGAAAAGGTTCTATTCACGCCGTTAACTCATGAAACCCTTCAAAGACAAACAAATATACCCGAGAATGAAGACTTCGTCTTTCGTGAGAAAATAGGGTAGAAGAACTCACGCTGCAAGACGAAGACCAGTAAGCGTATCTGCGTCTGTATAAATTTGATTGAGGCTGGTAAGAAGGTATAAAGCCTATATATATTGCGACTGCATTGTCTTTATAGCACGTCAATTAATTAAGAACCCCAACAACGGATTTTGCAGAGAAAATGAATAGCACAAGTGGGTAGAACAATATCCGAACCTTTTCTCTCTGTCGATAAACTACAAAGATAAAGCCTAATAAAGGCAAAAACCAACCCAAATGGTCGGACAGAGCAGAGAAGATAAAGGAAAATGGTTACCGGAGGAACCGATCGAAATAACGATCACCATGCTGCATATTCTAGCAGTTACATATCCACAGCCTTCAATTGTTTTCTCCTTATCATCCAACTGAAATGTTTCCTGCAAAGAAATAAATCAACATATTCCCCCGCTGAGGTAATGAGCACGAACACCAGCCTCATAGTTTCCGGCCCCAGCATAAACCATGAACAATCAGAACCCCAACTATCCACCATGTCCAGTGCGCAGAAGCACCCAAAGGTAGCTCCCAGAACACATACAAACTTTATATGCAACATACAGAAAACCTGGAATAGGCAGAAGAAGAAAACCCGGGGGTGGAAGGAAGCAAAACAGAGTAATACTTGGACTCCCTACTGTGAAATAGAACATGGAGAACAGAAAACAAAGTTATGCAACCCAAACTCCACCCCCCTGCAATTGGCATCTGCAGATCAATCACGAAGTCTGTTTCTAAAGGCTCGGGATCTAATCTGATCCAAGGCTCTAGCTATTGGTTGGATAAGATTTATGTTTTCTTTTTTTTCCACTGTAAACAAGCCAGACTCATGATCGAATTGATTGGTCAGGCCAGACCAGGCTTTATAACGATGAAACCCTCAAGGTCTAGCTAAAAAAAAAAAACTAGTTTGCTAGGTCATTTCACCCACTCACTACAAGAATGCAAGTTATTAGAGACGAAATGGTTCTCATTAATTACTACATCATTAATAGCATTAAGATTAATTTATGTAACATTTAGCGTAGGTAAATTAACAAGATCAAGATCTGGTTCTTTTGCTGGAATTTGAATGTCTTGGTTTCTGTTGCTGCAAATTAATTTTAGTATCAGTTCCTTGATGTTTGTTCTTCTTCCTCTGGCCGTATTGGTCGTGTACATATGGCCAAGGCCTCATTTAAATATTTTTATGAATAATATTGATCACATTCATCAAAAAAAGAAGAAAAAACTTTAGAACAAAAGGCATTTAAATTTATGCAAACTGCCGTTTTATTAGCCAAAAAGCACAAAAAGGAGTAAAAGCACGTAAACTAGCTCTCAGCACAAACTACATATAGTGCTAATACTCAATATACTTAATTACACATCCGACACCTATAGTATGATTTATAACATTATTGCAAGCTATTCATATATATATAGATATATTCATGCATTAGCATATATGTATGTTATGAGTAACCAGAACATGTTTCATAATTTATTTGGTTAGTGCCTGATGCGTAGCTAAGCTAGATCATCGATGGATCAAACCTATAACGCGCCGGCACGTTTAAGCATTGGGATTAAGGAACGATTAAGGTGAAGGCTCATCACCTCCTTGGCTCCACCCACAAGTTCACCACCAATGAACACGGCAGGCAATGTTGGGCATCCAAACCTTGAGAGTGCTTGCTCAATTTCCCTTCCTCTAGGCATCTCATCAAGCTCATGGACAGCCACGTTCACCCCAAACTCATTGAAGAGAGTCTTGATGGTGTGGCACATACAGCAAGTGCTCTTGCTGAAGATCACAACTGGTCTCTCGGATGCCAAATTTGTCACCCTCTCCATTTCCAAATCAACGAGCAAAAAACTAATGCCAATGACTTAGCGAGTTAATTTGATTACAAGCTGGCTAGAAGTCTCAAAACCGATCGAGCAGGAGATAAACAAACGATGTAGTTAGCTAGTAAGGAATATTGTGATGGACAGTGAAGTTTTTTGGTTGTGAGGTGCTTGATATCATGAGACTCGTATATATAGGATTAAATTTGAAGGTTTTGGTTGGATTGGCAATGGTAGCAGAGAGAAAAAGATATGATTGCGAAGCAAAAGAAGAATGTTCTGCTAGATATTTCGGACGGTTTCTAAAATCACTAATCGATTGTTACATGACACAAATAGAAGTGTGACACCACGCGGAAAGTAATTGCACGATATAGATGAAGAATCTTTCATACGGAAAATAAAGACGTGTCCTTTGTACGGTTGTTTCACATTATCAAAATAATGACAATATGTAATCTTAAACATGCAAATTGTTCTGTAACTTCTATCCAAAGTTTGATGATCTATGTATTAAAGTACATTTTGATCAATTTCCTTTGCATGGAGGCATATGTGCTGAGTTGCAGAAAGAAGTTGGATTTATCCAATCGGGACCTTTCTGTGATTGTGTTAAGATTCGCATCCAATTCATCAAGAATGGATAGGTAAGTGAGGGAGAAGAAGGTTAGAGAAAGGACTGGCATGCACTCTTGAAAGTTCAAACAAATTTAGCCCTAATAAAGTTCCATTTGCATAATTAGTAGCATTAAATCTATCTTCCTCGTAGAAAATTTTACATTAATTCGTTATTAAATAGGATCATAAACATATTCAATCAAATGCTCTGAATACATTAGAAAAAAAAAGGGGTATCATCAAGATGTTATAAAAATGAAACCATCCTTTTTAACAAATAAATAATTGTGTTTTCGTTTGGTGGGTTTTTCAACACAACCATGTTGAATTAGAAATCTAGAACTAGCATATAATAACTTCTTTTGTCCATGTAATTGTTCTTGATTTTATCTGTCAAAAATAGATTTGTGTTCCAGCTTATAAGTAGGTAAAACAACTTTCATGAGCTTTGCTCATTACTTCTCCATTTAATGCTTGCAATTCCTAATTAACAAACTAAATTTGGATGGCTGTGAAATGAAAATTTATCAAGAATAATAGTAGAACATGCATGCACCACAATTTCTAGCTAGGCAGAAACTTCTTCTAGAGATGCAAGAAATCCTTTTCTTTCTTTTCTGGGTGCTAATGAGCCAAGCCTCCCCTCGCTTTCGGGCACATAGTTTTTTAGCCAATTACAGTGACTGTTCACGAAAAGATAAGACAAATGCCGAGAGGTCCCCAACACCATCCTTTCTTTTTTATTCCTTTTTATATTTTTTTCACGTCACAGTTCCCTTTTATTTTTTATTTTCGTTCCCTTTTATTTTTTTATTTTCATTTGAATTTTCAGTAGTTATTTATATACACAAAGAGCGAGATCTATGTGTATTTATAAAAAACAATTTAGTTTAATTAAATTGTTTAGTGATTAAGAATCACAAATAAGATTTTTATGTCTAAACAGCTCACGTATCATTCCATAAAAGAATTACTACAATTATTAAGTAATGATCAATTAAAATGAAAATTCTAACAACATGATAATCTAAGTTTCATAATAGATTTTTAATTTTTATATATAATATTTTTCTATAAACTCTGCTGAAAATTAAAGATGGTATATCTAGTTCTACAAAATTCCCATTATTAACTATATATAAAGTTATTTCACTTTCTTCTTCATATTCTTTTCAACATCAGCCATTCGAACCTTGGTTGTATAATTTGATTGCAATGTCAAAAGCATACATACTAATGTATATATTGTTGGGTTTTTTGCATATTATACACATTATGCACCCATGAGAAACCATGAAATAAAATTATTCAGGAATCTTAAGTATCATGTTGGACAGATTTAAAGTTGTTTAAGTAGTTATTACTCGAAGATTTATTTTTATTCAGTTTTGAATAATTCTTTAAAGATTGAGCTGTTGCAAATCACAAATTGTTTAATAGTCGAGCCTTTAATGACAATTCATACGAATCACTAGTAAGAAATCTCCTAAATTCTAATTTAGAAGAGAAGGATTATTATGCTTAGAAATCTCATATGAAATTTTCATACAAGTTAGTTCAGTGTACATGTCTTATAAAAAATACCTACTTACTAGTTCTAATAATATATACTAGTTTTTATGATTTTAATAAATATTTAGTATTTAAAAGAGTATTAACTAGAAATTTTTTAAGAATAATATTTTGATGCAATAAAAATCTCATAATTATAGCAACTTTATAATTGTATTTATATGATATTTTTATCTTATGGATTTTATTCTTACTCTAGATTAATTAATATAATATTATATAAATATTAAAAATAAATTAAGTTTTTATTAATAATAAATATATCTATTTATAAAAATATAATAATATAATATATATATATATATATATATATTCTTCATGACTGATACGTAATTTTCAAGCCAAAAGCGATGTCAGGTACCTTGTAACCTATGATTTTTTTTTTGTGATTAAAATATAATAAAGTTATATACGTATCCTCCATACCGGCTCAATTCATCAGTAGTCAAGGGCCAGACCCAAAATTAAACGCCTTCAGATTGGAGGGTTACTTAGATAGAAAAGTAGCACTGTACTTCTTAGCCCTGCATATGCACGCGTGCATGGCTCATATGATATCTTTATATTAATTCTCTTACAACTGATCATGAGTAGGAGGAGGAACGAATCCAAAATGTTTATAAATTGAAGAGGCCAAAGTGTATAGTCTTACAGTTGGGAGGGCCATTTCATAATAATACCATCAAAATTGTATAGTTTCAATGGTGAGTTTAAATAACTTTCCAAACTTGAGAGCATCAGCCCACCCTTGGCCACCTCTAGATTCGTCTCTAAGTGGGAGATCTACAGGCCGTCCAACTTGAGCTGTTCGATGAGCATTAAAATCAAAACCACAAGATTTTAACTCGAGAACATTCCATTGATGTTATCTCCTATCAACTACAAGATAGAAAGAAGGGAAACTTCTATGGGTTCTCTGATCTCTTTGTGGAGTCTATATAAACAATTTTATTTCTTTTCAATCCAACCCAGAGATTATAAATTATTCATGCAAAATACAGGATTGATGATCCATCTCGATTAAACAAAGTTTTACTAATTTCTTTAGAAGAAATGGAAGATTGATCATTATGGACAAGATGATGCATAAATATATATATATATATATATGCGCACATGCATTATTGCATACGTACATAAACTTGGCCGCCAGCATATACAGCTAACGTGAGAGAGAGAAAGAAAGGATAAAACCCTGAGTGTTGGTGGCGAGTGGAAAAAGAATGTCAACTTTATGCACCAAAGATAAAGTAGAAAGCAAAATATATGCAAGCGAGGACGGATCGTGGCATCACATTCACATATTAGGTTTTTGGGTTGGTGAGGTACAGGTCCATGTGTACAAATTGTAGCATTTTCTTATATATTCCTTCCTGTACAAAAGATATATATATAGATAAAGTGACGGGGAGAGGAACATATATTATACCCTTTGCCTTTACTGCCTGACCTAGCAGCCTATCTTTTGTAGATACGGAACAGAAAGAATGCATGCCCCTCTCCACCCATTATCAAAAAGATTAAAAAAAAAAATTCTCTCAGCACTCTGATCATTATCGAACAAAATATCACAACTAAAAGGATAAAATATATGATTCATTCTTCACTTTAGGATTTATTTCAAGTGTCGGTTCATCTAATGAAAATCATCTTAATTTATTCTAACAGAATTTCTGTTTATGATTGATTACTTTTGCTGTTGACAGAGTGATACATGCATGATTTATTGACTATGTCCTCTTGGTATTTAACACGTGCATGCATGGGGAATCTTTGAGAGCTAGTTTTGCTTCATCATGATGATTTTTTCTTTCTTTTGGATTGATTTAGCTAGCTTCATCCATATCCATGTTTGATAGAAACTAATATTAAATTATTTTCAAAACTTTATTTAATAATCTAGAACTTTGAATTAAAATAGGTCCTCGGTAATTATATCATAATTTTAATAATTAAATGATCACAATTCTTTCCTATTAATAAAATGAATTAAGTATAAGATATTAATGAAAAATTAGGGAGCAAATGTTTTTTATTTGAGAGGCTGTGATAAGAAATTAATATAAAACAGTTTGAACTTCACCTAATAATAACGTGAATTTCTGAATTGCCATATTTATTTTTAATGATAATGATCTTGACAAGGATATTTGTTTATAACTTTTGAGTCAAGATGTTGATTTATCTATTGCTTTTGGGTTAAAATATTTTTAACGATTATTATGATCTTAACAGGGATCGGTACTTGTTTATAGCTTGCTAGAGCCGATATTGTCTTCCACAAATTAATTGAAGGTTGATAATTATATATGCATCAATGACTCGAACGTTCGTCTAAGAGTCAACATGGAAACTCAAGCCCTGGAAGAAGCACAAACTACGTTTCTAAGTGTCTGAAGTCTACACACTATATGCTAATTTCATCTGAAGTTGTTGAATACAAATGTGGACCATAAATCAGTGCTATGAGGAACTTAAATGGAAGTGACAATCTTTGTATAGTGAAAAAAAAAGTTACTATGTCATGTACATTGCTGTGATTTAGGACTTCAACAATTAGGCAGACTGCGAATCATTGGGGATTTCAGCCTTATCTCGATCTTCACAGACTAATTGTGTAGGAGAATTCTCATTTTTTTATATTTATTTATAATAGTCGAGGTTCTGAAAAGATAAAGGAAGCAAGCAAAATATACACAAATGAGGAATAAAGCCAGCCAAGGTATCTAAGTTCATGCTAAAGATAGATATGGGAAAGGACAACTCATATAATCTTTAGCTTCCGATCAAAATTTCACAAAAATCAAATACAAAGACCAAAATTGAATGGGGAAAATTTTCTTGGGTGCATCCTATGTAATTATTTACTAGATAATAATATAATGATTATTCTAGGACTTTATCACTTCACGTTTTTTAATTTTTAGAGCAATGAAATGATGCTTTAATATAATATCAGAGTTTTAATTGATTGAATGGTTATCAGTTTGAATATTAT